AAATGTTTCTATTTTCCTACTCTTGGCATAAAGTAATCAGGATTGGAATATAAAGTGGGTTATGATGTTATTGGAGTAATCTTGTCTAATCTGATCTATTTGGAAGTATTTTGTTTTTAGAAGTGTTTATGCAGTGTCATATACGCATTACGCACAAAATTCCATTGAATAAGGTGACTTTACATAACAGTTTTCATTTCAGTCTCCTTCAATTTTATCATGAAATTTTCACATACAGAAAACGAGTTATGCAAATGTGTTTGTTTAATTATGATTATCTCATTACATGTTTACAATGTTGTTTTGATTCCGAGCTTGGATTCTAATTGAAGGGATAAACATTCTTAAATATAAACAAAAGAAATAAAATGAAACATTTGCTGGCTATTAAAGAATGCTTCGAAAACTATTTTTAGAGCATATGCATATAGATCATTAATCCACTATTGAGATGAAATGCAAATGTCCTTGTAAATTGAAATAATAAAAAATTGACATCTTAATAAAAGGTCAACTCGATGATAACTAAATTAAAAAGTAGAAAGTTAGCTTGAAAAAAAAAACATTTTTAATTTAAAGGCGAAATTTATTATGTTCAAATGTGTATAAATAACGAGTACAATAATTATCGAGGCTTCCATTTTATTTCTTAATAAAGTAAAAAAACAGAGAAATGAATAAAGTGTGGTACAATCAATGCTCACCTCGTCTCGCCAACCCTTTAAGGCGATGAAGGCGTGATCGCCGCGTAACTCGCGCAGCACGTGATCGACCCGAGCGGTGCGTTCTTCGTAATCGCGAAATGCCGGATTTAATTCGACGTAGTCCGATGTCACTCGAAACACCTAGCAAGCAAGCGGTTGAATTCTGTGCAAGCTGATTTAATTTTACCTCCGGATATCTAAGTAACTGTTTCATTACATCCGGTCTGATTAGTCCCACTTGGAATCCTTCGACAATGAAAGGTCTACATTGTCCCGAATTTAAGCCTGAAACATAAATACTAGTAAATGTTGCATTGGAAATGATTGGGTGTATACTGTATACATGATCAATAGTATCATTGAAAGGTAAATTTTGAAACGGTTTTTGTGCGTTAAATGAATGGAGGTGGGCCTTAGACTGCGCGTATAATTTATATAAACGTAATAATTTACCTGACAAGTAAAAGCAGTTGAATGTATGAGCAAGTTTTAATAATCTTGACATACTTGAACTTTCTGTGTCTACTGACATTTTGCCCCTATATGACACCTGAGATAAATAACATACTAGTATTTTTTTTGTATTAGGTTGGTAACGGCACGTACTTTTTAATTTCGTCCGAAAGCAGTGCCGTCCATGCATTTTTTTCGGTTGCGGTTAAGGCATTTAAAAAAATGAAAAAGACGCATCTTTGATTTTTTTAATATGAATTATCCACCGCTCGATTTTATTATCTTAAGAAAGACAGCGTATCTTCTACTCCAAATCCATAAAAAACTGAACGTGGTACCGTAAATGTAATAGGTATAATATGGCACTGCCAAAGTTAAATTGGTATTTGGCGCGTTAAGCACGAGCACGCTACATTATCACTAATAATCACTAATAATAAAGAAATGATTGAAGAACGCCATTCAATCCAAGCCGTAAGTGATTTAAAAATTTAAATTTTTAGACGTTTTTAGCGCTAACAATTGAAAACATCTCAAAGCTAAAGTAGTCTTTGACGTACTGTTGAAGATGATAGGTCTTTTGAAGAGTAGGTGTGCGTTTTTTAAATCTCCACCTCTGTAATTCAAGATATCCAACCCAGATAATATACATTACAGAAATAGGTGTAATTCATGAGTACGGTGCGACTAGAGAGCGCTTTAGTTCAATTCAAAGTAGGCTGTGTATGACTCATCTCTAAAAGATTACTGATAATGGCTCATATTCTTTTCTACATCATTGCACTGCTTCAACCGTTACTATTATAGGGAGAAGCCCAGGAGAAAATGCTGGTCACAGAACACTTGATACCGTTCTACAATCGTATAAATGGTTTAATATGACATTAAGGAACATTTGTTCAAACCACGTGACTTAATATCTTTGGATATGGATACTACAACCCGAATAAATTAAGTAGAGAAATGGCATTCTGGTTCCGAATTGCTTTCTTTGGATAAGTATAGTACCATTTTATATTTACTATGTATACAATGACAGTACCTACCTTTATTTATTCATAAATGGCTATAAACAAAAGTAGTATGCCTACAGTTATTTTTTAAAATAAAATACAATATACAATGGAGGTATCATATTATTATAATATAGAACGTCTACGCCACTGGATATAATCAATTGTTCTCATTGAATAAATCTCATTAAAATATAAATAATGCAATAATAATACTCTGAAAATATTTGAGGAGGAAAATATATAAATGTTCATTGCTCGAAACTTAGCTCATAAATAGGAATCATTTTGAATTTACATTTTTCAAATACACCCATTCTAGTGTTTTTTAGCGTGGGCGATTGGCAGCACTGAATTCCAACATATTTCTGGATTTGTGGCATTTAGGTTATGTGGTTTTGACTTATGTTGACGTGTCTGTGGAAGGAAAACCTTTTTTCTGGAAAACTGATCGAATAAGCGATCCATTTATTATTCAATATGAGTTCCTTCAAAAGGGACAAAAAGGAGGAAGAAGATGGTAGTTAATGGTTAGGATTGTATCGAAATAAATCACGAATGTTGTAGGGGGTGGAAATCCTTTCCAAAACATTGAAAAGACCACAGTCCTTCAAGAAGCTAGGATCTTTAATGAAAATATAATTAACGCCAAGAAATGTACTCACATTTTGACGAAAATATTATACCTCCTCAACCAGGTACGGGCGCTCTTGTGTAACGTATCTCCAACCTTTACTTATAGGGTGAACAGTTGGGCGCGAAAGAGGCAACTGAAGTATTTTTTGCGATGACCAAGCTGTTTCAGTCGAAGGATGTTATTTTACGTCGCATGGTCTATTTGGGCATCAAAGAGCTTAGTTCAATAGCCGATGATGTAATTATCGTGACGTCTAGTTTAACGAAAGATATGACCGGCAAGGAGGATCTGTATAGAGCAGCCGCAATTCGTGCACTTTGTAGTATTACCGATGTTACGATGTTGCAAACAATTGAACGTTACATGAAGCAAGCGATTGTGGATAAAAATCCGGCTGTGAGCTCAGCTGCTTTGGTCAGTTCTCTGCACATGAGCAAAATTGCTTCGGATGTGATCAAGCGATGGGTTAATGAAGCACAAGAGGCTGTGAATAGTGACAAGTAAGGTTTTCGAATTTATTTTCGTGGCGTGATGGAATTGTTGTAGTATTATGGTTCAGTACCACGCCTTAGGTGTTCTGTATCATATTCGCAAGTCCGATCGTTTGGCCGTTACTAAGCTTGTTGCGAAGTTAACGAGAATGTCTTTGAAATCCCATTACGCCATTTGTATGTTGGTAAGTTTCGCATTCCGACAAGTAGAGCCTGCTATAGTAAATGTTTTAAGATTCGTATTGCTTCGAAGCTACTGGAAGAGGAGGAGACCAGTAATGACTCCGCCTTGTTTAGTTTTATTGAATCTTGTCTACGCCACAAATCGGAAATGGTCATATACGAGGCGGCTCACGCAATTGTCAACTCGCGAAGAACCACCAGTCGGGAGTTGGGGCCTGCCATAAGCGTCCTGCAATTGTTTTGCGGATCACCAAAGCCAACCTTGCGGTTTGCGGCTGTTCGGACCTTAAACCAAGTCGCAATTAATCATCCTGCGGCAGTTACCGCTTGTAATTTGGATCTGGAAAATTTAATTACCGATTCAAATAGGTCCATTGCTACTCTGGCTATAACGACTTTATTGAAAACAGGTAAAATTACTTTGGGGGAGAGTGGGGGGTACATTTTTGAGCATTTTTAAAACATAAGGCACATGTTTACTAAATTCCTCATTTCTTAAACCCAGAATTCATTACAGACTACTTGTTCAGAAATACTTATTGACAGAGGAAATATGTCCCCACTCATTATTTATTTATTTATTTGCCTTTATTTTAGAGTGGGCGGGGTTTCAGCCAAGGCTGTTTTACCAACCCAACCCACTATACATTTACCAATATCCATGCCCTGAACCTAGATTGGAACCAGGGACCCTTAGCACTACAGTCTAGCTTCAACTGAACTGCTCCACACGGGCCACAATTATGACGATTATGATGAACCTTTGAATGTAGTTGAAACTAAAAAAATGATGAAATCGTGAACAGGTGGTAAAGATCATCCCTGATACTTCATTTTTAGCAAGGCAGAGTCGACCCTGTGTGGGAAAAATGACAAAGATTTTTTTGGCCCTTCTTCAGATAATTTTATTGCTATTATTGGTCCTTAGGCCTTATAATTCAAAACAGCGCCTATGTTGGAGAAGTTGAGACATGGCATATTGAATAATGCCATACATAACATTTAACACAATAGTAATGAATGAAAGTAAGGCTTGGCAATATTTTATTTTTTGCCTTTATTTTTGAGTGGGCGGGGTTTCAGCCAAAGCTGACCCAACCCACTATACATTTACAAATAGCCAAGCCCGAATCAGGGACCCCTTAGCACCACAGTTCAGCTTTAACTGAACTTATAATTTCGTACTATTACCATATATTACGAGGACTGTGTTGGAAAATGTTTATTGAAATACTTGCTGCTTTTAACGGCTAACGGTTTCCATTACATTTTACGCTCTATGGGTTTACACTCCATTCTTCCATAGCGCGTGATTAGACGCGTCATTTGTAATTTTTTGCGAATCTAAGGCGGCGTTCATACTAAGGCGATAGACAATAAGCGATATATCGTACGCGATACCCGATATCATGAAGAGATTATTGAAATTCAAAGGGAGGCGATCGGCTACAGAATCCTAGTCTGAGTTACACAATCGGAAATACTGTGAAAATATTCGTCTACGGCACAGCGATGGCTTAATGGATAGATAATTTCTCGCTCTTGGCTTAATTTCTTTCTTCGGGATTCGCTAGTGGATAGATTGGCTTAATATAATAATAATAATGCCTTTATTGAGCTACACCTTACCCGAAAAAAAAATTTTTTTTATTACCACCACGCGCTTCACTATTTACACTCATATTTATAGTTACCTCATTTTTATATGTTGATCTCATTTACATCTTATCTTGTCTGCGCTATTATAAGCTTTTTGTCATTCGACATTCGGTAACTATAGACGTATTTATCTCGCTCTCCTTGCTCTTATTTTAATCACAACGACACGCTTCATTTACTCGTCCATAATATACAATAGGTACATAACGCAGGATAAATTTTAATGTACTTTATTTTCATCTGAAATAACAGATAGATACCACGACCACATTCGCACACACAAAGTTATCGTTACGTGTCAATATTTAGATTATGCATTTTTACTAAACTGTACAATTTTCTATATATGGAGTTCTGTTACAGTAAGCTTTTGTTTGATACTCATAAAGACACCCTACAATAAAGACAGGACGGGAAAAACACGGACATTAGCGCGTTTTTTCCAAATTTGTTTGAAATGTGCTAAAAAGGGACAAGGACAAGAAATACTAAAAGGATGACATCTACTCTTATATGTACAGGGTGGCCAAATAAGAATGCGAGGTACTGTATCTGAGAACCTGTCCATCGTAGAGGCTTGCGGTAAAAAAAATTTATTACTAAAGTGGCCACGAGAAAAACCTGGAAAATATTTTTAAGTTTCTGCAATGGCCGCTAGGGGGCGTAACTGCAATCTGGAATCTAAAAAAGTGATTTTTCTGTGAATTCCGCTAAATTAACCTAACAAAAAAATGTCCCGTCTTTGAAGTTGACGATAATCTGAACCTTCTTTGTTAGACAATTTTTCCTGTATCTATAAAAATGAAGTGGTGGGGAGTATTCAAAGGTTTCCGTAAGGAACACTCTGTATCTTCGAAACGACTGAACCGATTTTAACAAACTCGGATTAATTGAATAGAGTTATTCTTCGGCTAGTTTTTTTAGTTTCGCATATCGCCGCTTGAGGGCTTTTTTCGACATTCCGACAGAAATGGTTAATTTTCTCAAAAAAATTAAATGCCTTGGTTTGGTTTTTTTTTCATGAAAAAGTTGCTAAATGATGCCTAAACAAGCTCACGAAAACCGCATCTCGATATCTTGTTCCTAACCTAAAATTTAGGCCAAAGAAAATTTTATACACTCAAAATT